CCAACGGAAGTGTAATTACTCCCGAAGGCTCCTCCTTCAAAAGACTTCCGGAACGACCCTTTCATGCACGAAGCTTCTGCAAATCACACACCCTGAACGCTGTCCCGCATCGACGGTTCTGTAGACGGGAGTTTCACAAACAAGCGAATGACCAAAAGCACTGTCAGTCTTCAGATCGGGACCACCCAAATTACCCACAGGCCCCTAAGAAAGTCCTTTTTGGGATTACCTTATAGAATTCTAAATATAAACCACAAAAAGGAACTACTCAGGCGCCTATGGGTAATGAGCGATTGTAAGTATTCAGAGTTTGTGCTCTGGGAGTTTGGTCTGGTCTTTGCGGTGCAGGCTCGCGGAGTTCTTGCCCAGACATTGATGGAGGAACCCTTAGACCCTAAACCCCAAACCCCAACGCTGGGCCGTAGAGGGCAGAAACAGGCCCAAGGAGTTACTGACAAGGCCGCTGAAGTGGAAAGCCCAAAGCTCTCAAGCCTTAAAGCCTCCTGGAACCCTAAACCCCTACAGGCCCTACACCCTACACTGTTCGGTGTTGAGGCTCCGGGGTTATCTTAAAGCAACAACAGCCGACACCCCGACATGCCATAAAGAGCCGGTGCCCTGAGCCACACACTACACGCCAAGCCCAAACCTTTGTTGATGTACAAAACTGGCCTTTGCTAAACCACAAACCCGGAACTCCCAAGCCCTAAGTGTAAAACTGCGAATCTGAAACCTCCTATTAGCACGCTGACGGAGCCTTATCTGGGATCCTGAATTTTACTGGTCCCCCTAAACCCTAAGCCCTAACCCCCCCCCAACAAAAAAAAAAAGGCTTTTCCGTTCCCAAGCTCCCACAGGTACTCCACCGGCCCGAACCCTGTTCTGAGCCATGCGCCAAGGGAAGGGATGCTCGTTTCTGAAGAGGTTAGGGATTTTGAGGGTTTATAGGGTTTAGGGATTTTTACGGTTTAGGGCTCATAGGGTTTATAGGGTTTTATAGGGTCTTCAGATGTTTTGCCAGGGGGTTGGATTGAAGAGATAGTGGCTTTAACGGAATGTGGGCACTTTACACCACCGGTTCAGATTTAGGTTTCAAGCAATGCTGTTAGGGTCTGCATAGAGTTTTAAGGTTTGTTGGTGTAAGGGGTTTCGTGTGTATAGGTATATATAGGAGTCAAGGCCTTAAATCGGGTAACTGCGTCTACCTTGTGTTGGTTTCTGGTCTGATGTTTGCGAGCTTAAAGCTGTTACGGTGGTGAGAAAGAAGCGGTTTTAGGCTTCCAGATTTCAAGGGGATTCAAGAACATTTGAAGTGTATATATATATATTATTCATTGTTGTGTCTCTGAAAGCAATGATTCTGGGCTTTAGCTTCCCCATTGGCTGCGTGCATGGCTTGAGAAAGTCGATGACGTTGTTGACAGACGCGGAGCCGCGCTTCGCGGCGCCGCATGCCCTTAAATCGAGCACGATGAGCCAGTGCCCGTTGGGCTCCATGGGTCGATCAATGCCTCGCAGAACCCGGACCTTCAGCGCTCTCGCCGATGAGAACGTCTATATGGCTCTAACTGGGAGTACCAGCTGCAACTGAAGCCGAGATGACTCACCGCGCCAAGCCTACGCGCACATTCCAGGCACCGTCGCCTTGACGCACCTTGACCTTAGGTGCAGCCATCACTCCGTGGGTAGAGCGCGTTGATCATTTGCGCAACCTGGCTCGCCGTAAAGCGCCTAGTGCTTGCACGCTCAGCAAGCTGGCCAGTTTTATTTGGCCAAGTTTAACTCGCAAGCCCTATACAGCCTAAACTGCAAGGATCAGAGGTTCCGGGGCACACGATTTGCACTGTCGAAGTGCTCAGGCTACAAGACCCTCCACCATGTCAGCTTCGTGCTTGGCACAACTAAGACGGACAGCTGAAACCCTAAACCAATCACCCTAAGTGAGGCCTTCAATTCACAGAAAGATCTTTACAATAGTAATTGTTGCTGGTCTCGCAATTAGACTTCGAAGTTGCGAGTTTGTTTCATGGCTCGTGCTGTAGAACATATAGCGCTCATGGCGGTTAAGGAAGCGAGACCCCAAAAGGCCCCCCTATGCCAAAAATGCCAAACTTGAAGCCTCGACCTACCCTAGTCCCTCCCTTATAACCCACCAGAACCTACTTTATTTGTAAGGTATATAAATCCCATATCAGGGTTTATAATAAGAACCTACAAAAGAGTGGGTTTTGGTAGGTTAAACGGTTAAGGTGCAGACCCTATGGAGCAAACGCTGCTTGGGGGGGCCTTGGGCCTTTGCCATACATTTCGAGATGCTCTCCAGGTTGGTGCGACTATGTCCTCGACTTGGAGGCCGAGAGAGCCTTTGAGCATTTGGGTTTAGAGGGTTTAGGGTGTAGGGTATGGGCTTTAGGGTTCAGGGGTGAGGGTTTAGGGTTCAGGGTTTAAGATTTGGTGTTTAGGGCTTAGTGTTTAGGGCTTACAAGGTGTAGGGTTTAATAAGGGTCTCGAGTTACTGGGGTTTGGGTTGAGGGTTCTTGTTTACCCATAGGGTCCAAGTGCTGTCCGGAAATACTATAGTTACTAGAGTGCTTTAGGGCCAAAATCAAAACTCTGAATAGCTTTCGTACCTTTGGAGATTAGCATGTGGGCACTTGGACCTTGAGGGCGGTGGGGACTTCAATGATTCAAGGATGTTGGGTGGTTCGATGCGCCTGTAAAGGTATTTTGCTGGGCCTCCAATGCCTAGCAACCCTGCTTGAAAGGCCTGAAACGTCGGATACCCAACATAACCCTCTTGAGCCCTGAACTCCTAAGCCCAAAACCCTGAACCCTAAACATCAAACTTCGGATGCCCAGTATAACTTTTTGTTGAAGCAGTTTGGACCAGAAGCATTAAGTCTTGAAGCCGATAGTATAGCGACCGGGCGTTTTTCATAGTGCCTGTTCATACTTCCTATGAAATTAGACCATGGTATAGTCCAGAACCCCTAGTCTAACTATCGCCACTAATTCAGTGACAGTAGCTTTCAGCCCATCGCCAAGCCGTGGCAGAAGTCCTGAACCTCGAAGCCTGTATTACCTCTAACACTGGAAATCCGAAGCTCGTCAAGTTGCAGGCGCGCCGGCAATGCATCTACCAGCGTTTGAGCAATGAGTGCGCTACTCAGCCTCTGCTGAGATTCCAAATCCCTCCGTGTTGAAGCACAGATGTTTGCATGCTTTAGAGTCATACTGCATACAGTTTAATACGGTGGTACCCTAGGCGAATGATTAAGGGCCCTATATAGTAGGTGTTCTCAGGTTCATGCACTGAGAATAACTGCATAACATGTCTAAAGTTGGGGATCTAGGATTGGAAGGACCGTAGCTTTAGGACTTACCTGTAACCCAACAGATCTACATTTTCAGGGCTTCTTACTTGTCAAGTCATCATTGCAGGCAGGATCCAGTCAAGTATGAGGATTGCCGCAGGGATCACCCGAGCTCACGAACTGTGAACCACAAAAACGCGTGGTCTTGCATTTTCGGGCTTAGGGAGTTATGGTTTGGGAGTTTCGTAATGAACCTGAGCTAAACCCTACACCTTTGAACATCCAGACAGAAACCCGATGAAGCCTTTATCAAAGCCCCAAAAGTCTAACCAATTCTATGAAAACCCGAAGTGAAGCCTGAATGATTACTCATACATGTCCCTAAGGGTTCCTGATTATATAACCTTGCTACTAAAAACACCCCGCCACCTTGCTCGAAGTATTAAGGCCCCAGCTTGCCATCTGAACGTCTGAATATTACGCTGCGGAGGCCATTCTATCAAAACCCTATGATACCTTCATAAGTTCCTGCAAGGCCCTTACATCAAGCCTCAACCCTATTCCAAATAACGAGACCCCTAAACCTGGAAACCAAAACCCTACACCTTAAGCCCTAAAGCCCTAAAGACCCTAAGCCCTCACCCCGGTAACCCTAAACCATAAAGCCCTAAAGACCCCAAGCCCTAACCCCCCCGTATTACCTTGAGGCTGGACTTACTTGTCGAGGAAGGCGTCGATCTCTTTTTCTCTCAGTGGCTCTATGAGGACGGGAACGCAGAAGCGGGGCTTAAGCCGGTGTAGCGGTTTTGGGTATAGGGTGGAGGGTTTAGTGTTTAGGGGTGCAGGGTTTAATAGGATTTAGGCTTCAGGGCCTAAGGGGCTAAAGATCTTTCAAGATCACCTTGGGGTTCTCGAATTGTAGACGAAGGGGCCAGGTCTTATGCAGAAAGTGCGCCAGCGGCCATGAACACGGAGAGGCTCTAGCTTTTTGCCCACAACAGCACATGCCAAGTATGATCTAAGGCTCTGCTGCTATGAGTGTGAGCCCATGTTGGGCTGCAGGTTTTATGCCGAAGCATCCGCTCGCCTTGAGCTCCCTCATCTATCTTGAGACAAGAAAAATATCATCGCGACCGGTTCTGTGCTGCCCATCTTTACAAACTGCACTGTTGCACTGGCACACTCAAGAGCTTGACAGCAACTTCTGGGGCAAGAGGATTCTGCAGGGGCTTAGGGGTCGGGGGTTACAATGGCTTGAGGGTTGCATTGTGTGGAGCTTGCGATGCCGTGTTTTGAGGTTTCAGGGTTGAGGGTTGAGGACTTTGAGTACATGAAAAGGTCAAGGCCGCTGTGGCTTTTGGGTGGAGGGTTTAATAACGGGGATCGGAATTCTTCGTATTATTCTATCTACCCCAAACCTGTTCAAGATTCTTCAGGTTTGCTTGCGGCTTGGTGTATGAGGGTTCGGTTTGGGGCCTTCGATAGTTCAGGGTTTTGGGGCTTGCAGTGTTGGGCTAAGCATGCGGGATGGAAGGTGGTAGGTGTGTTGGAGTCGTTGGCCTTTGGGGTGTGTTTGCTCTGTTGTCTGTATTGTGTTTGTGGCCTAGCTTGCTCGTCCAGGCTTTGGGAATTGCGGGTTTCCTGGTTTCAGGACCTTGATTGATAGTGTTTGGGCTCAGCGCCCAGGAGCACATGACCTTTGACAAGTTCCGGGTAAATGCCGTGGTCTCAGGATTTCAGCCCTTTAGTACGGCTATATCCTAAGCTGCAATAGTTGTATACAGACATGTAAAGGTGTCCCAACCATAAACCCTGGACTCAAACCCTGCCAGTTTCCGTTGTGGTCTTAGACAAGCAGGTAAGCATAAAACAACGGGCTGCCGATTGATGGGAATCTTCAGGGGAGGGACATCGGTTCGGCGCCTTGCAAAGACTCACAATGCAGAGTAGGCTGAGTAGGCTTGGCAACAGGTGTGTCGTAAGATGATTACCAATACTGTTTGGGACTCCTTGTTATATAATTGTCAGAATATAGCCCAAGACCCTATTCTAATCACCAAGGCCCGAATACTGTAGGACCCTATTGAAGATCCCATCCCGCTATGGAGCCCTTGAAAGGAACCCTATTCTAATCAGTTATTATGTCTCCTTCGTTAGGGTCTAGGGTCGTAAGATGAAGCCTCATCAGAGCAGCAACAGTGCCATCATGAAGCTCTTGACAAGTTTGCGCGCGCTGGCGGAGGGTGCAGGAACATTAGGGGGTCTATAGGGCTTAGGGTCTGGAGAAGGAGCATGGTAGTTTAGAGATCTGAACAAGTAGAAACATCACGTGAGGGTTCCTACATACAGGAACTTTGATGAATCCACCCACTTTTGGTGAGCCCCTTGCAAAGCTCTTATTCCAGCTTAAAGAAAGACTGATGAACTGAAAAACCTCGTTTTAGTTATTAGCCCTATATTTTGCCAGAGGATGCTTGCGTGGTCTGCTTCGGCTCTTGGCTTCATGTCAGTGTGGAGGCTATGGTCGGCACACCAAACGGCAGAGTATATCAGTTTAGGGCTTATTGGTGACAGGCTTGCTTGTTGGTGACAGGCGCTAGACCAGCAAAGACTTGAAATTCAAGCCCGAATCGTACTCACAGACTAAAGCACCTTAAGCCATGAAGCATAGCGCCCGAAGCTTAGAGAAAAATCGAAACATTGGAAGCCCCAGTGCCTCCAAAAGCCACTACATCATTACACGCCCTGGAAGCCTCGAGCCCTAAACCGCTAAGCGCTTTGGACCAAGATCGACCATGCTTTCGATGTGAACTTCGAAGGTCTCGCTCTCAGCTGTACGCTTTGGCGTTTAGGGGTTCAGCGGGTTGGGGTTTTGCGTTCAGGGTTAAGTTTGTTTTTTGCTTTTTTTTTGGGCGGGGGGGGGGGTCTAAGCAGTTTGATGTGGTTTCTGACTGGATTAGAATTACACGGTTTCTATATGCTTTCTAGAAGGGTCTGGAGTTTAAGGCTTAGGACGAGAAGCCTTAGTTCAATTTGCGTTCTTCCATTCCAGGCACAGAGCGGGTGACCGCTTTCGTTCTTTTGTAGTCTGTACCTGCTGTGAAGCAAGTACCTTAACGCCGATACAGATAAAGGGCCCTAAACCCCTGAAGACCTGAACGCCGCACTTTGCTCGGTCAAGTTCACGGCGAAGTGCTGGCTTGCGCAGGGGGGTTGTCTCGGGCTTCTAGTAATGCAGGAGCCTGATTAAGAAACCCTGGTCCTATAACCCCAAAGTATTAGGATCCATGTAGAGAGCCCTAATAAAGACAACAGGTTTCTTGATCAGGTTCCTACAGTAGACCCTAAATCCTAAAAAAACCTAAACCCTAAACCCAGGCTTCTAGCAGAGTGCAGGATTTTGGGTTCGGGGGTTCAGGGCTTTCGGGTGGGGGCCTGGGCCGGGCTTGGCTTACACCTTGCAGAGGGAGGTCCGTGGACTGGGGCCTGCGTTCCAAACGCAGCGTGCAAACAGCAATCTCTGCGTAGCTGAGAAGGTAACCGTTATATATCCTTTTGGGTTTACAGAATCCTACCATAATTGACTGAGAAGTATCATCCTACCATAATTGAGAAGGGTCAACCTTATCTGGGGTAGGGTACTCAGCCCCCTAGGATCTCCTTGAATTCCTCTCCGAGCCGAAGCCCTCACAGAAAAACGCGAGGACCGAAACCCTAAACCCCTAAACCCTAAACCCCTAAAGCCTACACCCTAAACCCCTAAACCCCTAAACCCCTAAACCCTAACCCCTAAACCCCTAAACGCTAACCCTAAACCTCTCCCTGGAGGGCCCAACCTCACAAGCCAAAAAGGCTTCGCGCCTCCCTAAAAACCCTCAACCCGCAGTCCTAAACCGGTGTAGGGTTTAGGGTCTGGGCTTTAGGGTTTAGGGTTTAGGGGTTTAGGATTTTTAACCCTACCCGAAATCCCAGACAACCCCTAAAGATCCCAAAAACCTTAAAGGCTACGTTCCTCTCTTCCCCATCGTCGTGCCGATCTTCGGTCGAACAGAAGTTCGCGTCAGTTGGCCCATCTGGGCGGGGAGCTCAGTTTGACTGGACTCTTTGTCTACTATAGGATATAAGTTTATAAAGGTTTCAGACGGTTCTCCAGGAACTGAGTAGTGGGTTCACTAAATGTTCAGGGAACTTCTTGTGGTATTCTTGTTTTACTCGTTGTTGGCAAGTGTTTATCTCAGGCGTTCGTTGCAAGCTGGGTTTATCTGCAGCACCCTTTTCCCAATTTTGCTGGGGGTTCTGCTCATTGAACTGAGTGGTTTGGTAAAGAGTTTACATGGCTTTATTGAGAGGATACTGGGCAATCTAGCAGAAGCTTTAAATAAGCTAACACAATGGGTGTTTTGTCTACGTCTACGCCATGTGCTGTCCTTAGGATGATGTTACCCTCTAGTATTTCGTTACCCTAAAAGCCTTCGGCCCTGAAGCCCTGGGTCTGTCGAAGCACTACTTTGGCAGGTTTGGTTCGGGGTTGAGAATACATAGTTAAGAGTGCCGTCATAAATAGAACAGGGTTTGATTGGGGGTAGTGGCGTCCGACTACAACTGTATATGGCGTCTATGGAGTATAAGGGAGTCGGAATATTGTCGTTACTTATTCAGACCTCTGTACTCTGCTGGCTAGATGTTGAGCAGGTTTGGGGCGTGTGGGGTGCTGTCAGTGCCCGAGGTCTGATGCCTTGTGCATTGGTTGCATTGGGAGAGGAGATTTCGAGTCGCCAGAAGCATTGACGGCAAACACCTGGAGTTGTGTTCCAACTCCTTGGAAGAGGGTGTTGAAATTCCTTGGATCTCGCCATCTTGCGAAGAGCCTGACCTTCAACCCTCGCTTCCTTCATCCCTTCCGGAAGACTTATTTCCTGCAAAAGCTCCGGGGTGAGCTCGTGCACACGAGGTGTGCGAAGGTTGGCGTAAAGGGCACAGGCCCTTGTAGCCATGTCTTTGGTGGTGGAGTTCGTCTAATTAGTCGTGCCTTTGGACTCGTCGTATTTGGCCCACAATCCTCAAGCCGATTCGGTGGGCGTTCTAAGGCCCTTCGATCTGGCTCGTCCTCTCTACACTTAGGGTTTAGGGCTAGGGTCTAGGGCTAACATCCTGCTCGCTGCCTGCTTTAGATTTGGAGGTTGCGGGTGAAGGTGTTTTTGGCAATCCAATGCGCTGAGACAGATGGAGGTGAGACAGGTGGCCCCCGAAACCTGGGCTCTTGCAGAGGATGTTTGTGTTGTGAGACGTGACCCAAACGACACTGTTTCGGGATTGCTCAGGTAGTCTAGAATTGGCTTCTGTTCAGGTTCCAAGTTTGTTGAGGTGGTCTAACGCTCGCGTCCCAGATCTTCCAATATCCTCTAAATTGACCTGAACTTAATGAACTTATAGTGAAGAATATGCCGATCTAGGTTGGGATCCCGAATGTGATTTCAGGTGTATTCCTCGCTGAAGGAACGTGCCCTGAATCAGATCAGCGACCCTAGTATAACTTTCCCTAAGGGCCCAAGTACCTAATAATCATATACTAGCCAAAACCCAAGTAATTACCTTATTCTTGGGTCCTTTGGACCCTTTGGGTTCAGGTGTGTTCATGTCTGTTCCTTAACTACGGGGATACTGGAACATCTAAACTGCCGAGGAGTACCTCTTCTTCGAAGTCTACCACGGGGCTTTTCAGAAGAGGGTGCCGCAGCCTTGCAGAGCATACCTTCGGACATGTTGGTTGTTATTTGGGTTTAGGGTTTAGGGTTCCCTAAGCCCTAAACCCTGTGGCCATGTTGGTTGCGGTTTGGGGTAAACGGGTTTTGGGTTTTGGGGCTTAGAGGGTTTATAGGGAAGGAGGGGGAAGCTATTTAACGCATATCTCCATCATGGTAGCTTAAACCAGTTTCCCCAAGTAGACAGGGGCGCACTTTGTCGCGTGATTTCATCCCGAAGACAGTACGTGGATTCTCTAAATTAGGGTTCAAATTAGGGTCCTTTTAGGTCCCCAATATAGTACGGCACCCGGATAAAAAGGAACCTAACGGGGACCCTAATTTGGAGAACGAAACCCATGTAGACCTACATAAAAGTTGAGATCCGACTCAGGGTTCTGGATAATCTCAAACCGAACCCCGAAACTCTACCTTTCTGAGCTTTCGATCTTAAGATCGAAGCTAGTGAGCACTAATATCCCGGTAATGTCCCTGGTGCAACTGTAGCACAACACACCACAGCTCCCTGTTGCATTTCTAATGGCCCCTGAATTGGTTCCTCCACATTGATACGAGTCCGGCAAGATTCTCCCACTCAGGCGGGATTTGTTGAGGTCGAGACAAAACCTAGAGGTCAGAGGTACATGTAATTATATCACCTCCTCCAAGTCCCTTTCTATTATCTTGCGAGCTTGAGTCTACTTCAAGGACATATTCAAATCATTAACCCCTTTTCCGAGCCCTATCCTGGTAGGCACATGGATGGCTGTAGACCTCCAATCAGTGCTGTCAGGTGGCGGAGATCCAGGATTTGGTCGTTCAGACAGTGTTGAAGAGACGTCCCTCTGGTTTCGGGTTTAGGCTTTTGCACAAGCTCGGTGCGAGCAGATGCTCAAACGGAGCCGGATACTGGAGAAGACTCCCTCTGCAACCCTTCCTTAAGCCAATGCTCTAGGGGTCGCAAAAAGTGTCACTACTTTCTGTCTCTTATGCTTCCAGTTTGTTCGTATTTTGCACTACTTTACTATGCTCCGAAACCCTACACCTCATTCTTCTAGAAGTGTAGGTAGATTCTTGGCTTGACAACAGCATATCCCAAGCCCTAAGCCCTAAACTTTAAACCCTAAACCCCTAAACTTTACACCACAAACTGAGCCCTAAACTTTAAACCCTAAGTTAATCCCTAAACTTTAAACCCTGAACTAAGCCCTAAACTTTAAACCCTAAACTAATCCCTAAACTAAGCCCTAACCTTTAAACCCTAAACCCTAAACTGAGCCCTACACTGTAAAAGCAATGCAGGTGGGCACCAGCGGAACTATAGCCTCGGCAGTGGACAGGTGCTGGTCAACATCTCAGTGCTTTGCGAGCACCTTAAACCCAAAGAGCCCAATACACCTTAATTAAGATATATACCTCAGATCATAGGGACCTTAATGGTGTGATTTAAGGTATATTCCTTCATCAAGGGGCTTTCGGTTCAGGGTTGAGGGCCTAAGTACAGTGGTTTCACAGCTCGAAAGCCCCAAATGTCCTTCAAACCCCGTCACCACTGCTGCTGCTGCTGCTGCTGCTGCTGCTGCTAGTGATAACAATGTTGTTTACAATGATGATGGTCATGATGACGATGCTGATCACCATGATTCAGAACTGCGCAACTTTCAAGACTGCATATAGTAGAGAGATTCGACTGTGAAACCTGGATCCCTCGCACCCTCGGCTCCCTGACGTACTTGCCCAGACCCCTGTGCTCTCCTTTTGGTTTAGGGATTTCAGGTTTGAGGTTTCAGGTTTCGGTTTAGGGTTTCAGGTTTAAGGTTTAAATTTCCAGTTTAGGGACTAGGATTTTTTTGCTCGTTTTCGATTGGTTGTTGTTTTGGTGTCAGAAGCCTTAATCACAGAGACCCCAACTGCAGGCCTCAAAGGGTTTTTGATGAACGGTCGGGGTCCTTTGCTGGGCCTCCTTTCATATCATATCTTTTGGCCATTTTGGGGTCTAGGGCCCCGTATTCGTGGTTGAATCTCCCCCCTCTCCTTGGCCTTTGAATGCAAGAACAGCTTGTGAAATCTGGCACACTTGTATAGGCGCCGGGGTTGTTCTCCTTCAAGAAAAGTGATTGGAAAATGCTGTTTGCTTTCATGATCCTTCTTGTTCTGGCTATTCGTGGAATTCATTACTTAAGGGTAAGGGGCTGCTGGAGAGCAGGTTGAACATGAACACACTCTAAACTCTAAACAGCAGAAATGTCTATCCACCCCCGCTGACACGGTGCCGCAGCCAGGAACCTGATAAGCCTCAATGCCCGAGAATCCCAACCCTACAACCATTACTCTGGACCCTCAGCCCAGAGCACAGTACCAGTACCTAAATCCTAGAATTGTTCCTATTGGTCTCCTGTAGAACCCTTATTACAGCCTTACCGATACCCGTTTAGAGCCCTTGTTGAAGCCTTCTACTTCAGGTTCGAGCACAATGCTTGCATCCCTTCTTGCGAAGATGGCCTTGGAGGGAGAGGGCCTTAGAACTTCGAGTACGGGTTGGCAGAATGCAGACGAATAATCATGATAACAAGAGTAATATAATCTTTACAACCATGATAACACCAACCATCATGCGAATCACTGGCATCTAGTATTCTAGTATATACGAGTTTCAGAGCTGATGGAGTCGGCTGGGGCTGCGCGTCGGGTACGACGGGATGCCAAACCCATGATCCGCTGAGAGGAACAATCAAATAGATTAGAATCCTTAGAGGTAGTAGGGAACAGGCAAGACGAGCATGGGGTTACGATCCCATTCGTACCCCCTGCCTGTAAGCTTCCAACCCCACCTATTGCCTGCAAAACCCTGGAAAGACTCGATGTAAGCTAGGGCTTCCATCAGCGATCTGCTGGCATGTGTGTATGTTCTGGGGTACCTTGCGGGATTGTCACTGCCAGAGCTATTGCTATTGCTGCCACCTCCTCCCCTAGTAGCTAGTAGCAGTAGTCTCGTCGTTGTTGTTTTTGCAGTTGTTGTTGTCGTAGTTGTTGGCGCTGAAGGGCGAGGAGCAGGATGTGCCGGCAGGGGAGCAGTCTTCCTTACACAGGACGCTTTTCGCCACGAGCCCTCTGTGCTTTCAACAAGTTTACGACTTCATAGTGTCAGATTTCGTGCTGTCTGCGCAACAAACTGCGGCATGCTATGGCCACTAAACATATTATGTTCGACCTATGCCCAGGAACTGTGCCTTCGACTTCGACGACTACTTCGCCCACACCCGCGACCCTCATGGGAACCTGTTTCCGCAGACGCAGCCCTTCGTGGCGTCAGCGCTCCCGCGGGGGGAAAAGCTGCGAACGGCTGATGGACTTTCTGTTGTAGTTCGTCGAACCACGCCTACGACTTTTGGCATTAATGCTCTAGAGTTTATTTTAAAGCATATAGAGTCTATAGACCACCGGATGTCAGGTTCTTGCTCGAAGGAAGGAAGGTCATGCCAATTCTCGATTTCTGCTTGAACAGCAGCTGCCGGCACTCTGCAAGTTTGTCCCCGCAAGTTTTGGACCACATGGCTTTCACGAGAGTTCAACCGCCACTCTGCCTTGTAGCAAGAGAAAGTCAAGCCGTTGCAAAACCTATTCCATTCACAATGAGATTCAAGATGCTGTCCAGGGGAAGATTTGCATCCCACAGCCGCCTACTTCAGCCTTAAAAGCTTGCAGCCTTTACGTGCTGCTACAGTGTCCACCGGTTCTGTACTCAGCGAAGAGTGCCTGCCGCGTCTGCGAGCATTGGGCAGCAATAATGGGCTTTCACGATGCTCCTGTTGAGGACAGGGACGCTGTGGTCAAGCTGGGTTTAGGATTTGGGCTTTATGGCCAACCTTAAGTTTCTAAGGCCTTCAAAGACCCTGCCACCCAAGGCTTGTTAAGGCAATAATTGCAAGCGCTTTTCGGTACGGTATCACGCAGTGAGGTTTTCGTGATTGTTCTTCGCATGGCTCCTAGATGTTTCTAGCATCAGACTTGCGACTTCTACAGCGCTAAAGCTCAGGATTTAGGGATGCGGATTCTAGACTCAGAATTCAGGATTAGGGGTTTTTGGTATATTGCTGCGTGTGTCTGGGAATGCTGGGGCGCAGGACACTCGCTCTGTAAAGAAGCAGTAGCAATCTTTAGCGAAGCGCTGGCAACAACAAGCGCTACTGTTGCTGCTGCTGCTGCTGCTGCCGGGCTACTCCCACTGCTGTTGCCCAAAGTAGGAACATATTGCCCCTAAACCCTGAACCCTATACCCTAAACCCTAAATCCTAGCATTGCCCTGAACCCGAAACCCAACTCCGAAATAAATGCTGAAGCTTGGCCCCTGAACCCACGCCCACAACCTGAAGCCTGAAACTAGCCCTACACCCCAAACCCAAATCCATGAAGCTTGGCACAGGACCTTAAGGGCGAGGAAAGCAAGGACCTCAAGGCCAAAGCTGGCCGCTGCTTTTTTGAGTTTCTCGGGGGTTTCTGGGTTTTGTGAGGGTCTAGCGACTGGGTTCTTTGTTAGGGGATTTAATTTAAGTTCCCATAAGGAACTATAGATCCCATTATGATAACTGAACTATAGATCCCATTATGATAACTGAAATATAAATTCCTTTAACAAGAACCCAGTCTTTGAGGGTTTCCCAGAGTTTCTTGTGAAGTTTCCGGGGGCCTCTTTAGGCTCTGTGGCTCGAAGGCTTAAAAGCCTCGGAGCAGGTTCGTGTTCTTTTGGGTTTTGGGTTTTTAGGGCTTAGGGTTTAGGGAACTAGGGCTGAGGGTGGAGGTTTTAGGGATTGCTGCGCAGTTTCAGGGGTCAGGCTGAAGGGATGTGACGGCGCGCATAACATGTAATCTGCCCTTCTAGTTCCGATACGCTTATACCACGAAATATCACCAAAACCCTGTTTTGATGGTTGAAGCCCCTGTACTTAGCCGAAACCCCAAAGCGACACCCCATTTAACGTCAAGCAAGCAAGCTCGAAAGCCCCAATAAGACGAAACTCCCAAACCCTGTAGAGCTTGTACCGACGAACATCATGAACCCCATATAAAAGCCGCTGAGATCCTAAATACACCTCCTTCCCACGGGAAGCACTGTAGAAGTGAATAATATTACCCCCTATAGTACTTATTATATGTTTATGCTACAAGGCACCCCTCCAAAAGAGCCCAGAATAACAATTACAGCCTCCATGTTAAGCCTTATGGAACCAGGAACATCTACAGAACCCGTTTGCCTCAGGCCTATAGGCCCTACAGAACCCTGATGGAAGCCTTGAGCCTATGCTACAAACTCTATATGGGGATTCCGAAACGGCCCTAAACGCTACACCCTAAGCCCCGAGCCTCCTTCCATCCGGAAGTTCTCCAGGCGAAAGGAGGACTGAGATCTCCCGGAGGCGGCGACTCCACTTCTTCCTTTGAGGGCTCCTTGAAGGGATCTGCAAGGGTTCCTTTAAGGGATATTTTTAAGGGTTATTTTAAGGGTTCCTTTAAGGGATATTTTAAGGGTTACTTTACGGGTTCCTTTAAGGGATATGAAGAGGGTTCCTTTAAGGTTATTCTAACGGTCCTTCCCGGGTTGTCTTCAAAAAAGGGTTATTTTCGAGGGGCCTTTGTTAAGGGCACCATTTTAGGCTTCGTTTTGGGGTTCAGGGTTTAGGGTCTAAGACTGTGGCGGCAGATGGCAAGTCTTTTGGTTGGCATGTGAACCCCAGCCTGTTCGCCTTCCAGCCCTGGCTGAAGCACCAGTGATACTGCTCATGAAGTAAATCCTGCATTACCTTAAGGACCCTAAACTATGGGAATTATGGTATATGATCTTATTATGGGTAAGGCAGGATTTTGTATCATCAAACGCAGAATTTCCTCAGGCTGCCTAACCAAGTCACCGGATAGAGCACCGAAGCGTTCTGAGCCCTAGGAGGATGTTTGTTATTTGCAAGTATAGGTGTTTGAGTAAGGTCATTGTCCCCACGATATCTTACAGCCCCAAACTGATGTAGTTGTACTTCAATCTATGCTTACCCACAATCTCGAGCACCAGACTCTAAATCGAACGCTTACATCCTGAGCGGAACCTACGCATGGCTGCCCACTTTGATCCGCCCCTGCATGGAGGATGAGTCTTCATGTGGCTTCAAGTGTGAATGATTAGCCTGAAGGTCTCAATCACTAGAAACAAAAGTAATACCCCTTAGTAGTCCGTACCTATGGATACTTCGATACACCCCAGTCTTGTTTTGCGGTGATCGCTTCTTCTGCCTTTTCTCTAGTACACCCCCGACCCTTTACCGTACTCAGAACGCCCCCCGGAGGGTTTTTTGGTTTTAGGCACAGTTTCTAGAGTTTTCTGCTCTCATCCCGCGGCTGCAGATTCCTGCGTTTAGGGTTTGGGGGTTTAGGGGTTTAGGGGTAGACGCCTGCTTGCCTAACCTTGCCGTGCCGCAGATTCATGGCTCCAAAGCACATCATGCCACCCCCCTTCTCTGGTTTAGGGTTTAGGGCCTGAGACCTACGAATCCGCACGCAGTTACCCTCATCAGACCAATTGTCCCAAGCAGCCTACGACCACAAGAAGTCGCAACCTTTTCGAGGTCTACTCGGCCTGTGGAGTCGGATTTATGACCTCGGGCTTCGACTTTGAACAAGGCAACGCTTCACGAGCTTCTCTGCAGAAGCTTCGATAGCATTCGAAGCCAAGTCCACACCCGACACTAACCCATGAAGCGCGTAAACTTAGAGCAACAACGCCTCACATCTCTCCACGGTAGCTGATGTAGCGCGAGCGGGCACGCCGCAACTTCCACGATGCCCTCGACAACGCCAGGGGCTCTGGAAGATTCAGATTGAGGAACTTACAAACTTATGTCCTGAAAATCCCAATTCGAATCAAACATCATTACCCTGAGCTTTGTCCAAGCAGATGCGGATCCCCGAATGGCACCATGAGCCCGGTTGATGAAATACTGCATGCATCCATGCGTCTGTCATCATACAGCGTCAAGAGCTTCCGCTGGGGTCTTCGTAGGCTCTCGAGGGGTCCTTTCTCAGATTTTATATCACGGCTTGCAAAGGCTTGTGTAACCGAAGCCGGCAAGGGTCCAACTTGAACCCCACACCGTTCGGATGAAACCTCCCAGGGAGGGCGTCGAAAAGACACCTAAACTCAACCCTCGAAGGACGGCTTTTGGCTCTGAGCCTGCAAGCCCTACACAGCCTAGCTTTACGGGTCTTCTGGGTTACGTCCAGAGAGCAGCTAGGCATGTGCTGTTGAGGCCTTGTTCGTTTTGGTTTACAGTTTAGGGTTCTCATCCCGTGACAGTCTCGCTGCGTAGCCCTTTGCCGAGGAATGTGCCCAATGATCGGGAAGATCCGAGGGATTGCCGCCAGGATGTGAAGTGACCAGGGGTTCTTTGGGTTTGGACTCCAAATGGCGTGTACAGCTGAAGACACCCCAA